CTACCTTGTCTCAAAGATTAGCTAATTCAGTATCTTTTCTTTTTTTATCGAATTCCACTCACCTATAAATGTGTTTTCTGCTGGTAAGTAAAGATCAGGATTTAATTCTATATCTAAACATAAAAAAAGAGAGAACTTTTCAAGATGGCGGACGCTTTGTTCTTCGAAAGTACTGATGCATGTATACAGATCTGGTGCATTCACACTTGTGTAAATTCTCGCGCGCTGATTGGCTGATTAGAGTGCACACTGTTCTGACACCATCACGTCTCGCGCGCACGCTCAATGGAGAGAAAGGAATGATTTTCGCTAATATTTAAACTAAAAATGTGATAAAAAATGTCGCTGCGCTCGTGGGTTCACTTGAGTTTTGAACATTTTATGACGTCAAGAGTGTGTCAATAAGAGGACATACAACTCAAAACTGTGCGCAATTTGTTAATTCTTGGGTGCATTAGCCATGAATACAGTAATACTGACTGTTTAATATCATAAACTACTACTACTACTACTTACTCTTCCAAGATTCAAGCCAACCTGAATCAATGTCTGGAAAAAAAGTGAAATGATTTTAACAATGTTGCTGATGTATAATAAAGATTCTAAAATATTTAGGATACTACGCGCGCTGTGATTGGTCGAAAAGCATGTTTGATTACAGTATCAAAACACGCTCGCGCGCGTCAAAAATTACACGTCGTGGTTTCCTACGCTTCTCTCGTGCTCTCCCTACATCCCGCGTGTTTTGATCAGAGTATCAAACACGGAATTTCGTCTTTTATTCCTTACTTAAAACTGACACTACAGCTGAATACGAACAATTTGACAGATCAACATCATTACTTGTTTACTAAATGTATATTGTATGTTAAATGGAGCCAATGGTTACTACAGACCATCTTACAGTATAAATCAGTTTTTACTTTCTATCGATTGGCCAAACCCCAATCAAATCGCAATTCACCACCAGGCGTATCAGAATACGTGTAACTATAGGGTATTCGTTCATACGTTCTCAACAAATGATTGGTTAAAGAATCCTAACCAACCACAATRCAGCACGCGCTCGTGTTATTGTTTACATACGTTTAAATGCGTCAAGCATACAATAGATTATAGATTGATAGTACCTGTGAGGTACTTAGTTAAAGGTATTTCTGTCAAAACTGAAAGGATGGAAGACGATTCGCGCTCTCATTAAGAAATCCTAAGAATCCGCCATTTTCTTGTCCACCWAAAATGGCGCTTCGGCTCGCAAGGGATGGCGGTTGGTTATGATTCTTTAATACTCCATTTTACAGTTTCAAGAGGAATATTGAAAGGTAACCAAGCCTTTACATAAAGCGAGAGAGGAGATGCAGTGGTAGATGCCTTTTGTTCACACTTAAGACAATTATTTACAGGTATCTATTGTTGTAAGATCAACCGCTGTCTCGCCTTGACGTAAACGCTCGGTTTCCTTTCAAGATAGCGCAGAGAACTACAAATGGAATACGGTAATATCAGAATGATTATAATAATATCGGTCTACATACCGGTACATTTATAACTCGTCTTAAACCACTCCTCAACTTCACTACATTCTTCTTGYGTAAAGYTTTTCGATGAAATCATAATGTTTGCTTGATGYGGAACAAGTTGATCCAGAACGCTACCAATCACCTACAAACAACAATATCCGCAGACATGAATAATGACTTTTCAAAATACAAAAAATRTCGGTARCTAACTCTTACATAAAGGAGAATTGCTTCAATAGGTGTATGAATCTATAGTAAACTTACCTCAGGATTGAACTCCCACATCAGTTGATCTCCAGTAAGAAAGTCTTTAACTGGATAAAGCTGTTCACATAAATTTATAAATAAATTTATAAATATACAAGATAAACAAATGGATGTTATGCCACATGAACGGCTGAATGCGACTCCAATTTGCTCTGTGTTAKCCTCAAAACCAASTAACATATTCTTTTGTTTCATTGATAGCTCGAGAAAAYGCATGGAAWTTGTGAAGAAAGACAATAAATTTGATTTGAAATCTCACACTTTTATTCTCACAATTAGGAATATTTTGCGCRSAARTGAGGCYAACACAGAGCATTGGAGAATTCGAAACTGGAKTATTATTAAGTGAATSAAATCTACTRTGACTTTAGTCTACAAATATATGGTGATGAGTCAAAAAATACATAATAATTACTCAAAGAAACGACAACAAATAAAAAAATCAAAGAGATCATTGGAAAAACACGATGTAAGCTCCAGAAYTTCATAGTAATAGTCTCCTTCACGGTTCCCTGCGCCATCTTGAAAGGTAGCCGTGCCTTTACATCGAAGCGAGACAACCGTTGAGTGTGCAGTGAGAGATACCTGTGAATAATGGATGCACGCTCAACGGTTGTCTCGCTTCGATGYAAGGCTACCTTTCAAGATARCGCTGGGAACCGTGAAGAAGACTAKTGCAGCCAKACAATGAYACAAYAGACTAGTTAAATCACTGCAAACACATCTCTGAAATGCTTGCTTTTTGTGATATACCTGCATATTTTCCACCACGTTTTCTGTAAAGTCGTAAGGCTCGCACTACACAAAATTAAAAATTGCCATCAATAACTCTCAACAGATTGATAGATATCAATTTTCCTATGAAATTGTTTAATAACTTGTGAATCTGAGAAWTAAGATCGTAAAATAGTTCCAAGTTTTGTTTGCACTTAATCCGTGAACCAAAATAGTATTATGAATTATAGTATGGTGTATTATAATAACAATTACTTTGCTTTTTATTGTCATTTATCAAATAAACGGATTTAGTGCGTCCAATTACCAGAATGTCTTACTTAAGAAAAAGTTACAAATAAAAGGAATTCACGGCGCRATATGTCCAATCGCCAACCACAGCATTGGGGACGAAGCACTATACSAGGTCTCAAAGGCCAGYCTCCGTATAGTAAACATCGATAGTGTCTTGTAAAAGAGTTTTGTCAAAAGTAATWCATTATTACATCTTTCAMACTTTGAARCTAACACATATTCTTGGCGTGTAAGTTACGTCGTCRCCGCCATGTTCGATGAAAGTAACAAAGCATACTTCATTTGTTTCTCTTGTTCAATTCAACATGGCGGCGATAGCTTTGTTCTGGTTACTTCTCAGAGAATTCCTGGTCATGTGGTTGCACACGAAGAATGCAATATTCGTGATGTTTTTTAGAAGGCCTTTGAGGTCTCGCTTCCATGATTTGTCACTATAGTCCTCTGATACTACTTCCATTTGAAAGTCGTGTAAAAGCTTGTAGTATTATTTTAATAATAAGCAAAATGAAAAATAATAATAATAAAAAATAAAATAAAAAATAATAAAATAATAAAAAACAATAATAAAAATAAATAATGATAAATAATGATAAATAATAAAAAAATAATAATAAATATTTTTTAACCTGTTCTTGGAATCTAAATTCGTTGTCTTCAATAGTTTGGATTTCTTTGTAGATTCTGTTAATTAAAAAATTAATCATACATTTATCAGTGCATTTAACTACCTAACTGTAACAACATTATTACAACCAATGATTAAATCATCATTGATCATAATCAGATTCGTACCCAGTCCTCTCTCTTCTTTTTTKCTCTGGCGCGCATAAAGGATCAAGGGAAGTCGGAAAAAAAGTCCTCCCTTGAAGTTCTGACTTCCCTTRATGAAACGAATTGTAACGAGACTGCATCATAAYGCAAGCAAAAAAGTTTACCTTTCTTGTGGGCCTTTTTGCCTTAACATTTCGAGATATTGAAAAACTATTGTTATTATCTACAAACAAAAAAAATACAGTTATGTTATTAGAAAAAAAAATAAAAAGAGATGTCGGTTGACATCCGTTGATGGCACTTTTAAAAACGTTTTTCCTCCTTTGGGCTTCCTTTGTAACGGTCATCTTGGGAAAAACCCTTCTCTCGCCCCCATTCTCCCTCTTCTGACTGTCAAAAAAGACAGGAAGCCCGTGATTCTTAGTGATGCCGGCGGAGGAGGCTAGAATCTTGGACATAAATGTTGACAATTTTTACGCACGCACGACATTTCTAACATTCTTCGTCGATAAAACCTTACTCGTGCCCTCCCTTCCCCCAATACAATGTTGTGTGGCTTTCTTTTCATTGGTTGTCCATTCATTAACCCCTGCATGCAACATTGATGCGGGAGGGGAGGGAGGGGAGGGGAATATTTTCAGTTGATGCACACGATACAGTATTTGTAATGCCCAAGCGAAAAATAAGTATTTATGTCCAAGATTGTACGTTTGCCTGTGCCTTTGAATTTCTTTTCTGATCTAGCCTAATGTAGACACTGTTCATAAACCAATTATTTATAAGTGCCTGTGGACAAGACGGCTGGGATTATGGATAGTCAGTTCCCGTCCATGACGGGTTGCTGGTTATGTACTTCTATTTCTTTGGGACAGTCAGTTCGAACTCATCCCAGCAGTGTCTCAACAGGCAATGTACATTGACGCCATTTTGAGCAGCAAAGCATGATGGTAGTTGTAGTCCTCACACTTATTATAGACCCATAAATATCCCCTTAAAAGACTTTTTTAAGATTTCTTTGTAGAAACTGCAAAACAACATCTATTTTCGCTTAGAAAAAAACAAAAACATTTCAGAAGTATTGTTGTAACAGACATAAAAAGGACAAGGACTTCAACTTCCATGATGCTTTGCTGAACAAAATGGAGTCGCTACGCTGACGTGGTGCTTTTTTATGTCCGTTAATATAGTCCTCCTAACCAGTTTTTAATTAGTTTTCTAAGCGAAAATGAAAGTATTTGTGCCGTTTCTAAAAGGAAAATGTCAAAGTGGCTTTAAGGAGTTATTTTAGGGGCTGTGAAAAGTGCGAGGACTACAACTACCATCATGCCTTGCTGCACAAAATGGCGGCGCGATRCCGAGGCGTAACAAAACCATTGTTCGTGTTTGAACGTTGTCAGTAAGTGACTACGAAGCCTATGGAAATTACAAGTACTATTGACAGTATCATTACCTCGTATATATGGTCGACACCTTCATCCTATCAAAAAAAAAATAAAAGGAAACGACTGTTAGACTTCTCACTCGCAGGCGTTATGAATCTCGTTCCCAGGAAAGAACTTCATAACGGCTGCGAAAGGAGACGAAACGACTGTTGGTGTTCAGAAATTTTGATGATGGGTTATTTAACAGTATTAACTTACTGTAAGAATGACTATGACAGGAAACATTGCATAATTTGTACTGTGTTCAATGCCTGTTTCTCCATTACCGCACATAAGACTAACGGCCCATGACCTAGAAAACATAAGTACATCTGTTATAGAGTGAATGAGGGAAAAGGGCCCAGTTTCTTGAGTCGTAAGTAATCATATCTCCACCTTCTAAAAAATAAATGGATCACTCAGTTTAATTCCTAATTTCACTTACTTTTTGATTAGCAATGACAAGACACTTCCAGGACCTTCATGTCCCAGCAACCAGGATATATAGTGCATTGGTTTTATTCTATATCACAATAATGTTTGATTTCAATGATTATGATTATGACAATGATTGTGATTTCTTTCAACTTGGCGTATACTACGGGATTCACCATAGGCCATTTCTAAGATAGCAGTTTGCATTGCATTGTTGTCTAGATTCGGTATAAATGATATCTTTTGTTCATGTTGCCAAATATGGTGGAAGCTAGACCACAATGCATCATGATTATGTATTTCAGAAAGGGCCACCTCAAACATAGGCTGCCCAACTATTGCTTGAGCGAAGGAAAAGAACGTATGCGCACGCTTTACGCCAGTACTGGTRTTAWCGGCGCGCGCTAGCTCTTAGCTAAATGCGGGTTWCCTGTGGTATGACGTCAGTGATCCCTTGCCCGTCAAACCAMAGTTAACCCGTATTTTTCTAAACTAAGTTGTTTGCTAAACCTTCTTCATTTTTGTAATTTTAATGCTCTAAACGCAGAATACAAATTTGACCTCATTTGCATAATTTGCGACGGAAAAGCGTCGCAAAKCCAGWCGATTMCTCCAGAGTCTCTCACGCATTGACTTCCGCTGGATGGCAAAAGTGCGGGCTCTGGGTACRAGGTTGGCGTAAATTAARAGCGTGCGCATTCGTTCTTTTCTTTCTCTCTTAAGCAATAGTTGAGCGGCCTATGCCTCAAATGGTGAAAAATCTGAAGCAAGACYGCTTTGAATTCTGGTATAMCATGTCCCTTTAACTCGGGTAATTTACCTATAGTGCTGTAGTTGGCATGGCAACATCCAGGTTACTTCCAATTGATGGAAATCCTTCACAGGTATTACTAAAAATACATGCTTTATATAAATAAATATATTGATATTTGATTATACTATTAAACAAGCCTATGAAAATCCAACAAATTGATGCTATGAATGATACCTTCAGACAAATGATGTTTTATAAATGAACAAGTCTTTATTAATTTACCTTTATATAATTTACAGAAAGAAGAATCGTCAAAAGGAGCCTGAAAAATAGGATATCAGTAATACAATCGATGCATTGTACCCTTAAKATTTTCACTTTCGAAAACTAGATTTTTTAAGATGTTTTACTGCTCGTGAATGATGTGTTCACATTTTCTTACAATGCGGATATGAAAAAAGAGAGCGTTCCTTTTAAAGAACAGTTAAAGGGCTACTTGGACGAAAATTGCGAAATATTAGAAAAGACTTGGAAATCAAATAGACCTATCCATATGGGTGTAATATTTATGAAGCAACAGATTTCAAGAAAATATTCATGCAAATCCTTAATTATTTGGGCAAAAAATGTTGGAGTAGATGACGTCATTTACTCCATCCTTTTGTTTTTCCATCTTTTGAATCAAAATTTCTCTGATGTGGGATAATTCCAAGACAAATATTTTCACGCAATTGTTTTTAATAGATATAAATGAGTCATATATTTGTATTGCTTGAAGTTTTGAAATAAGGCCATTTTCATGCAAGTAGCACTTYAACTGTAACAGTRCTGTTTGRTGCARTGAGGCATTAATCTTAGCTAAAATGAAAATGTCATTATGGAAGATAAGAGAATATAACAAGTACCAAACACTATCCCAAGTTGATTTTGTTCAATCAAATAGCTACTAAAACATTGAAAGCATATAGCTATTTCAGAAAACGTTCACTTGGATACTTGAGATGGTGTATTCTAAGAAATGGAAAGCAATGAAGTTTAMGCCCGMYGCCCACGAYAGGAAAGTGCGTACGGGAAATGCTACACGAGTCGCTTTGATCAGCACTATGCTCACCGTGAACAGCAAAAGTAGGTTCGCACAGGCTGATCAGAGCGACTCGTGTGGCATCATAGTTAACTATGGTGGCATTTGCTTTCCACAGTTTTCTATCGTGTGTGGCGTGCTTTATGAATTGTTATTTTTGTAGCGGAACTTACGTGGAGTTTAACAAACTATAAATAGAATACACTGCAGTATTAGGTATTCAACGTTTTCAGAAATTGCTGTATAATGCATGAATGAATATAATGATTAACTTACGGAGCAGTCATGAAACATAGGTCTTGGCATGTCACTGCAAAATAATGGAAGCAATATTTTTGCCATGATTATTGTATGAATTCTCGCGCGCTGATTGGCTTATTAGACAGATTAGATTACTTCGCTGACAACACGTCTCTCGCGCACTCTCTACTGAAAGAAAAGAAAGATTCTCTCTGCATTCGTATGTCCACTTTTTGACATTTTAGAGGGTTCGTACAGATTCCCGAGTTAAAACTTCCAAAACTTTTCCACAACTATCAACCTAAATTTCCAACACATATATAAAATACAATTCTGTCCATGTTGGTCGATCTTGAAGGAATCCGCTTAATCAGCTGGATTGGCATAAAATGTGCTCTCAAAGGGAATTCTGACGACCAAATTGTGAGTGGTTTTTTAATTTTCGGAAAAAAAGATGAATTTATTAAGCGAAAAATCGGCATTTTTTTCGAATTGACAGGATAACAGAAACCTTTTTTTCAAGGTGGGATGTTTAGAAAAAATCCAAAGCTTTTTCATAACCCAATGTTTCAAAAATAGTTTTTCCAAAACCTGCCAGGTCCAGGAAAAAGGAAGTTTGATTTCCAAAACCCGTACGAACCCTGATTTTATGACGTCAAGTGAGTGCCAATAAGCTCTGGACATACAACTCAAAAGGCCGTTCGCAATTTGGTATATTAATGATACATTAAAGTAATGCACAAGGTAGCTCCATAATTAGTATGCTGCCGAAATTGATCCAAATCCCGATATTTCGCAAATTTTTTTCTCAAGTTTTTTCTCAATATTTCTCACTTTCTCAATTATTGCAATGTTAGAACTTGCAAAACATATGTTTTATACGATTCGTCAAATTTTGCACATCTTTATGACGACCCCGAGTCTTTTTCTACTCACTTATTTGGTAAATCTGTAAAACAGTCTTTGACAAGCTCTTCCAATGAATCCAGTGATTCTGAAACCATCACAAGGTAAATGAGTAAAAGATCTTTGAAAACAGCAATCCACTAGTCTGCAGCTATCATTAACAATAAACCAGCATTTGTTACATGCAGACACAATGGTCTCCTTCGTGGTTCCATGCGCCATTGAAAGGCAGCCCTGCCTTTGTATAGAAGTGATAGAAACCTTCTTTCACACCTACAGACAATAAGTCATAGGTCGCCTTGCTACCTTTCAAGATGGCGCAGGTAACCGTGAAGGAGGCCATTGGTGCTAATAAACCGATTATGACTTGTTTCCCCCTAGTAGGGAAATGCTACAGGTAATTAGTATAGTGATGCAGTCACCGAAGGTGGTCATGCATGGCTCGGCTTTGTTACGTCCTTGTTTGAAATACATGGTACAAGTAGTGATCCTTTTTATGATCTTCCGGGATGATCGTCTTCCTAGTTCATGTACGTCGCCTTTTATCAAATTCAGTAATAATTCATAAGGTAAACACAATGGAAAATCATTGCCGTGACCGCATCTTTATATGAGCAAGAGATTTGTCCTGATTTGTATACGACTTTAACTTCGATTTTATCTTACAATGAAATGATATTTTATCTTGAAGCTTTATGCAAAATATGCTTTAGCTTATGTTGGAATTTGATAAGCAATATAAAATATTCGCGTCCGACCTTTATGGCGGCTATAAAACTGCTCGCTTGCAGCTCACAGTTTTAAATGCCCATAAAGGTATCCCGCTCATATTTTATATATTACACATAGTGTTTTTATCATTATAAGGAATGTTTAACTATCCGCGCAATAATTTTGATACCCTCACTGGTTTACCTTGCTCCCAGTGTATTTTTTTAATTTTTTTTAGTTTTTTTTTTCCTTTCCTAGATGCTTTTTTAGTAGTTGTCGTATTTTTGTCTTTGCTTTTGAGCTTGTCGTTAAATTAAAAAGCAAAGACAAACCATACAAAAAAACAACAACTATAAAAGAAGAGAAACGTAGTCCGATGAGGATTTGTACAGCTGCCATGCACACTCGCTCTAGTAGTAATGTTTTACCTTTTGAACAGACAGCCAGTGTCATGTATTGGGCTGAATACATTCTCTTTTGGAAGATTCTCAAATCACTTTGTACGTCAATACCCTAGCAAACAACTAGCATCAATATTTGTAATCATTCAGTTATGTGAATCATAACCATTTTTGTCTTTAAGAGYCAGGGAAACGCTGTGACTTGATCAACTGGGAAATAACAGGAGCGTTTTGAATTAACTGAACGATGCACAGTCGATCTAGACAGATATTAAAAAAGCACGTGTGCTGGGTTGCAGGGTAATCTTCTCTTGCTCATTCCTCTAAATTAAACAGAAGATTGATAGAGATGGGTCCATGGCTGGATATAGGTTTCCCAACCTGTGTAAGGTTCAAATCATTGGATTGTTTCCCAATAATTTTCTATGGAGCAAACACGCCACCCAATGATAGTGTAAAGACACTATACTGCAAAATGTAATCATGTTGATGCAGGTTCCACTCATTAGAAAACGTAAAGAACTTGACAGAGGACTTTATCTTGGGGATTCTTTGCAAAGCAAATTAAGAAAACAAACCCACCCTTTGAGTYGGAACAGTCTTCAATGTTGCTTCATTCCCTGTTGAAAAGGAAGAGTTGAATCAATAAAATACATCAAAGGGTCTTTTAGGTAAACACACTCTTAGCTGTGTTAGCCTCCACCCTTAACTCTAAGGTCTACCTTTGGACTTCCTTTGTTATWGGTATGATGGTGTGAGAGCAAAAACATAGAAAGCTTGTGACCCCCTAATAGTGAGTGCAAGGTTCAAAGAAGTCATGTTTTAAACTTTGAATTCAGACTCACCCCACAAGAACTTCTTAAAAGGATGTCCATCCCTTGCTATGCTYTGTAATAACTGAATTCTTTTAACGGTGTCACTTTGATAACTCTGCATAAATTCTTAGAGGAAAGAAAGACATCATTCATACAATTTACTCACAACAACAAAAATCACATTGGCTTCTAGATGCCATGATGGGTCAATGTGTAAGAGTCTGTTATTTGACAGCAATAAACGTTTCATTGCGTCCTTGAAGCTTTGAGGTTTGTTTGGATTTTCATCTTTAATTATTTGAGAGTTGAGAGTGTGGGCAGAGAACTTCGCTAAGCCTTATTCCTTCTGTAAAACACCAGCAAGACATTCCTAACAGGCAAAAAAATAATTCTTTTTCTTGCACTAAGCATACTCTGAATGTCATTTCCTTCTCTCAATTTCTGTCTTTTCTGCTTGCGTAGCGATGATAATGACTTTTCTAATAAATGCATGGAGATGTGTTCCTTTTCGCAACTATCCTCGTCATGTCATTGATCAAGCTCTGCGTAAAAGCCCTCGCCTTGATCGTAACACTGCTCTCACACCTAAGGTTCGTGCGCCTAATAACCGTATTCSTTTTACTCTTATGTATCATTCTATTAACAGCTCTGTTATGACTATTATTAATCGTAATTACTTTTTACTCTCTTATGAAACTAACACTTCTCACATCTTTAATGACCGACCCCTTTTTTCTAATAACATGATCGTAATTCCTTCATTGTTTACTAGTTAAAGATGATTTGTTTTTCATTCTAATATTGATCCTGGCACTTTCCACGAGCTCAGAGTACTCAAATCTAGGAGAGTCCTCTCCGACGAAGAAATAACAGCCGAAACGTCAGTAAATTGTTTCACCTACTTTTTTACGATGTTTAATTTTAAAGAAATTAAAAATGTTCTCCTTCTCTACCCTCAATTCACAGAAAAGGACACATTTCAAACAAACTTCAAAGCTCTTGAGACGCGACAATTTCTGCTGTAAAAATAATGTGGTTTAAAATGGCACCCTGACTCAAGCAGTCTAGCTGAATCTTTTGCCTGTTCAGCAAAAGCAAACATCACTTTTTTCACTTTATATCATAGCATTTTGAGTCTTACCACTTTCAACGGCCTGTATTTCTCTATCCACGCTTCCTTCATTCAGCATTGGACTGATAAAGAATTGGGCAAACCTACAAAACAAATAAAACATGCTGATTTTGGACATTATATGCTCATTGAAAATTCAAAAAGGAGCCTGGTGCTTGATGTTTTGCTTGATGTTTCAACGAAAAAGCAATAATTGAACATCCAGACTGCAAAAGTATCTAACAAAATTTCAGCATGTCTTCATTTTCTCCTCTTTTTTTCTGATATTAATCCCAGTGATTTTCAAGGATTTCAAGGTCTGGCAGGAACTCTTATTAATTAAGTAAAATAATAAAATATTTGTGGGAGACCTTTATGGTCATTTTTTGGGCAGTTTTTTGGATGCAAATATTTTATATTTTAATTCCCAACAGAAGCTAAAACATATTTTAAGAGAAAATTGAAATAAAATCATTTAAGACAAATCTCTTGCTCATATAAAGATGTGGTAATGACAATGCTTTTCCACTGTGTTTACCTTATGAATTATTAATGAATTTGATTACATTATTTAATAAAGTACCTGTCCAGTGCTTCCCTGAAATATTTTCGACGGAYGTCAAAGACGAAAACAGTCTAAAAACAAAGCATTGTAAAGGGATTTAGATTTTGACAAAACCAATTAATGACATCAGAAAACGGTGTAGTTAATAGTTCTCTGCTCTATTTTGAATGCAAAAAAAGGGAGAGAAAACAAATCAGTCAAAATATTAATAATTATCTCTGTAGTCTCTGGGTTTGAAATGTGTTCACTGCAACCATTTGATGACACTCTCTCCTAGGCACTTGTTACTGGTCAGAAATATTGCTGACTCTGTGTTAAGGTGGTGGGAACTAGCGGTAAACTAGTGTGAGCTGCGTCGGTGTTTCTGAATAAACAGTTGTGTAAAAAGACAAATTTAACACCGTAAAAAAAGTATGTGAAATAACTTACTGACATTTGGGACGTTAATCCTTCAATCTTTTTACACAACTGACTCTGTGTCATCCTGCCTTCTAGCTCGCTTTGAATTGCTGTTATGCTAAAGACTTTGTTTGACACAGGGAGCCCAAAGTCATTGTTGCTGCTTGCATGTTGACTCACAGCAATTTATTATAGCTGATATGCAAATTTTACCTCAAACGAATCAAGACAAGGCCCATTGTCCATAAAGCTCAGTCATTCTACTAAAGAAAATGGTTTTTAACAATTGACTGAGATTAATGCATGGCGTCTCATCTTGATTCTTTTGTATTTGACTATACTGAGGCAAAATTCACAAGTCAGCTTTTAAAATACRTTATTACACATAGCTAATTCCCTACTCAAGCTGTAGTGCCTTACCCTTTCACAGTCTGTACATGCATTACTGCTTCCTCCATGTTTCTTGATAAAAGCATCAAATGCATTCTCTTCAGGGTAYTTTTCACTGCCCATGAAAACCACTTAAAGCAACAAGAAATAATGAAAATTACTACAAACTTTGGGAAAATCATTCTCCTACACAGACCCTTCTCAGTTTTCAAACAGAAAATTAAAGACTCTAATTGAAGAAAGAACAAAGAAATAAAAAATATACATTCTACTGTTGTATAATATTATACTGTACTATATCAGACAGCACTTCAAGCAGTGTGTTGCATACTCTCTTTTTACTCCGATAAAGGATTAACATCCGAAACATCAGTAAGTTAGTTTGTTGTTGTTGTTATTTTTTTTATTATTATTATTTTACAGTGTGTTAAATTTATCTTTTTACACAACTGTTGCATACTCTGTAATTTTGGAATTTATGTATTACAGTTAAGCTACTGATTGAAATAGGTGACACCTTCTAGACAAATTAGCATCACTAAACAATACCAACCTTGATTTAAACTGCTCAAGACTTTTTTAAACAAGAGAAATATTATAATAATAGCACAGAAGCAGAGCATGCTACTGATTTGATAATAGTACTATCAGACAATCTTATCACRTAATCTTTTCAAGAAATAGTTTATCAGTAAGACGTCATTTGGACAGTAGTAATTATTATAATTATGATAACAAAATGATGATTATGACAAAGTTAATCATGTCACGGTACATACTGTGTTCCAGGAAGTGTGCGAGTCCTGGTATTTCATCAGGATCAGAAAAGCTTCCAGTTCCAATGCACAGAGCAGCAGCAGCCTTCAACACAGATTGAACAAATATGTATTAGATAAAGCTTACATGTTGAAAGAGTACAAAAAACTTACAAATTAAAAAAATTTAACATAATTTCATAATTTCATAATTTCTGGTGAATCTCATGACAGGTTAAATTGACAGTCAACCTACAATCCTTTCATTTGACACAACATCTAATCACGCAAAGATAGGACTCAGACAACCARACATTTTGACAGCACAATGTTCAATGACACAGTTTATTTTTTGCCTTGTTAAATGAACAAATAAAAACCAGTCATTATTAAATGTAATTAGTATAATGCTCTATCACTCATACTTCATACTGCGCTGTGATTGGCTACTCTACTAATGGTCTAATTTGTGATAAACCACTCGCAGGAAAATCAATCTCATTTATAATAAATTATTTTAAGGATATTTCAATTTGTTTTCATTATTTGACTGATTAGTATGTTTATACTAATAGCCGACTTTAGATATTTTGGTTCAGTGACCATGCACAAAAGAATTGCAGACRAKGCTCCGGGGAAATAAAGAATAAAACGATATTATACGCTCTTTGATTGGTCATTTTGAAGTGTGCACTTCAAAATAACTCTTTGCAATAAAAAAAATAAAATTATCAATGGATAATATCGTTTTATTCTTTATTTCCCCGGAGCCTCGTCTGCAATTCTTTCGTGCATGGTCACTGAACCAAAATATCTAAAGTCGGCTATTAAAAACAATTAGACCTATCGGCCTCGCGGACTCTGCCTCATGGGCTATTAGCTCGTAGTCCACTTGATCTCAAGGTCTAATTGTTAAATAGCTGTGTTCTATGACTAATAGAGATAATTAATGTCTAGATTACTCACCAATTTAGCGTCTTTTTGTTTTTTATCATGAATGCTTTCATCATCATCATGGTTATTTTCATTATCAACCATATCATCACCATCATCACAAGATTCATCAKTTGATTCTTCATCACTATTTTCATTGGAATCTTCAGAGGTGTCACTTGTAAAGCTGCTATGTCTTTGCTTYGATGACACTGTATTTGTATCTGATATCAACAGTGTTGTCAAACCATTATCCAGATGAATGACCCTGTCAATCAAATCATCAAATTATTCTGATATTCCAGAATTACATGTAGCATGCTCTCTAGGGATTAATTCAAGTAACAGTCCAATGATCATAATGCAGTTTATTGTACACGTACATAATAAAATTCAGAGTTGTCTGTACAGTGTAGCTTTGCCAGTAAAAAAGGACAAAACAATGCGCACATGTCCTAGGAACTAGACTTATTCTTTCTATAGATATTTTCTTCCTTACAGTAAACCAAGGCCTCTCMGACAAGGCCTTCAATTGAAGGAGCAAAGTGACTGATATCATGGTAGCCTTTAAGCATGTATGCTTGAAGAATGGCAAGGTTTTTCTAGTTCTTCAGCARGGTTTTCTCCTAGTTCATCTTCATATGTTCACCACTGCTCGTTATAACTGGCTCGCCAGTGCTTACTAAGAAATATTATACAAGCTTAACTTATTTGATCTAGCACTTTGTATAAAATGAGACTCATGAAGACAGAAACACCGCCATTTACCACAAGGAGTACAGGCTCTTTATCAGTGGTTATTATGTACACCACCCCTCCCCTCCCCAGGGATGTCAACTCTCCCGAATTTGCTGGGAGACTCCAGATTTCAGATTGAATCTCCCGGTCTCAAGATTTTAACCCTAAATCTCCTGGATAGCACAATATTTTCATAGAATGATATTAATTAATAATCATCGTTTTAGATTTTTATCTTTCAAAGAAAACCTTCAATGAATTATGTCTCATTTCCTTGATCTTTCGATACAGAACGAAATACCAACATTGCATGTTGATTCAATAATATCATACAAATCGTGAAAATAATGGTAAAATATGGAGGGGAGGGGAGGGGTGGCTATATAAGCTTAATTGATAACTGACAGAATTTTGGTGAGTGTCAATTCTTATAACTTGATTATAATAATTGATTTTAATTATTGAATTGACATCCTTTATTACCAAACTTTTATCAATATAATATAAGCTTAAGTAAAGTTAAAGATTACGTCAGGTTTTCACTACAGACATAGAATGTCAACAAAATTCGCTATACCTCATAGAAATAGTTATATCTTAGAGATCTGATACAATAATGATGTGGCTAATGATCTAATGATGAGTACAACTATTTTAKATAAAAAGTGAGAAGAAAGACAGACAGTTTACCGGTAATCTCTTGGGTCATTCGGCGACTTGACGACCGCCATCTTGGATTCTCGGTTCAACTAGTTCCAGGAYATCATGGAAGCMCAKCAAWAWWAAAMARSRRG